GTTTTTTGCGAGGCAATCCGAATATTTTTTTTTCACTCATTGTTCATGCTCAACCTAATTTTGAGAGAAAAAAGTTCAGTAGTTTAATTTGAATTCTCTCACGAATAATGGTGTAAGATTGTCTTTTAAAAACCCCAATCGGAAGATCCATTCAACAGCAGCTTCCTGCGTAAATTTATCGTCTCCTGAACATTTTTCGGACGAATGTTGAGTATTTAAAAGAACATCTTCTAGAAAGTTCGGGCTCATTGTCAGTTGAAATTTTCGTCGTCATTGCCCGATTTTCGTGCATATTTATACTCATCTGAAGATTACGGTCAATTTCTCGCGAGTAATTTAAAATTTTTTCAAACGCGGACTTTTTTCCTTCATGGATTTCAATCTCAATAAACTCATCCAAAAATAATCTCGTTCATCGTCTGTCTTATGCGTCTAAATGATAAAATATGCGAGGCACTTGATCATTCAGAGCATGCTTGGAATATGCATTTCAAATCTCATATTAAAGTTGTCAAGTAGTTTGTTTTTTTTTTCAGACGAACTTTATGTTGGTTGGGAAAAAGGAAGCTGAAGCTTCCGGTTCACGAAATAATTTCTGCGTCCTTTTTTTGTTGCTGTGGAAAATCTGTCAAGTAGTCTGGCTTGTGAACGAAAGCTTGTCATACTCATGGAAACGTCTAGATTAGCGGAATTTCGGGTATATTTCTGGACGGGTTCCAGGAAATATTTGGCGCCTGGAAACTAAACCCACCACAACGCCCGGGTAATCGAAGGCGTCATTTCGTATCTGTCTCCCAGCTTCTCGTTTTCAGTGTCTGAAAGAAGAATGAGAAATGTACAATAAAAAATAAAAAATAAAGCTGCGAGGCGAGACAATCAGTAATAGATTGATGGGTTTCTTTTGGCATCCAAGCACACACACACACACACACATACACAGTGGTATATAACGTCATCTTCAGCAAACCTTGTTCCTTGGCAACCTTGGCAATGAACAGCAGGCCCTCGCTTCAAACAACCCTACTTTCCCCTCCGTGTTCCCATGGAGAAAGATAATACATCACGAAGCGAACTTTTAAATTGAGTTTCAAACAAATTTCGAGAGAAAAATGACTCCTGATTGTACCGAAGCGGAAAAAAGGTTTCCACTCGCTGCGACGGCATTTTTCACGTGCTGGCAAGGCAAACTATTGAGAGAATTTCAAGGAGTGGATATTTCTGGATATTTGATGAATTCGCGGGCAAATTTTGCTGAGGATAATATGCAGTGAGACCCCGAGATGCGGACGTAATTGCGGCATCAAGAGTGTCCTAATGTCGGAATGTCCATAATAAATTTGAGGCAAACTATTGCGAGAATTTCAAGGAGTGGGTATTTCTGGATATTTGATGAATTCGCGGGCAAATTTCGCTGAGGATAATATAACAGTGAGACTCCGAGATGCGGACGTAATTGGTGCATCAAGACTGTGCTAATGTCGGAATGTCCATAATAAATTTGAGTCTCATTTTCTCATATACTTCGATGCTAAAATGAGATCAAAATTCAAAGACAAAGAATGGGCATTGCTAGAATATACACCGATGATAGAAAAATAAGATTCACAAAATAAGCTTGCTTATTGTGCATATATGAATTAGAATGAATTCATCATGAAATATTTTTTCAATTCTTGTGAATATAAATAGCTTAATTTCTTCAAAAGATGTCAACATTTAAAAAATGAAATGTTTTGATTTTTTTAGAAAATTTCAGAAGAGCTTTCCTATAACTCGAGCCGATGTCCAGATTTTGGGCCTGATTTTCCGGAGTTTTTAAGTATGTCCCTAAGTCGAATTGTCCTTATGTCTGAGTGTTCGCATATCGGTGTCTCACTGTAATGACCCTCGCGCAACAACAACAAAAAACTGAAGTAGGATGAATAATCACTGGATAAATGCGTCTTGAATTATTTAGTTTGCATAATTTCTCTTAAATCCCCATTTTAGCTGGCGGGTTGCATTTACGCGGGAAAGAAACTTGAATTAGACGCCCACTCTCGAAAGGAAGAACATGATGGTTCGTGATCCAGTGTTGCTCCAATGAAACCCGAAGACCCGCATTATTCAAACAACACCCTGTAGTGAACATTGATGATCCACATTTTTTAACAGCTGCCCCCTGGAGCGTGGCTGTGATTATATGGCGAGAAGGGAATGTTATTCTCGGGGGAAAAAAAGGGGCTTTTACAAAGTGGGGTTTTCAGCCAAAACTCATTTTTTTCCTTATTTTTCGTTGCTTTTTCCCGTGTGTTTTTCTTGCGAAATGATTTCTTGGAGGCTGTTTGAAGCGCGAAAAAAAAGTATCGTACAGCAGAATCTCGTCGCATCGAAGCGTTTTGGGCCTTCAATGAAAAAAATTATTTGCTGAAACGAAATTTAAACAGATTTGTGCTGGCTATGTGACAGGAAGCAACAAAAAAAAAAGTCGTTGTCAGCCTCAAATCGTATAAACGAGATTCTTTTTCACGAGGTTCTACTGCATTATGCGCGGCATTTTTTGAGTCCATAAATTGTATATTCGCAGGGTTTTCTCTGGAAATAGGCTTCAAGCAAATTTTATTATTGCAGAGGCGGGTGTTGTAATTACTTATAATTACCATTCATCAACTGTATTTTAATTACAGTGTCTGAAAACCCGAAATTTTCAGGAGATTCATTCATGTACATTATTTAAGTTAACAACCAATCCATCTAGTGAGCTGCAAAATCGTCAAAATATTTGCTACTGAATGTTTTCCTGTCGATTAATTTGCTTTTTTTGTTTTCGATAGTCTGTTACTGAGCTGAATTACTGAGCCAAGTCATTCACTTTGTAATTATATTTCCCGGCATTCTAAGAAATTTGTGAATTGATGTGTTATCCTCATGCTGGTAAAATAATGGACTTGATTGACGATGAAGACTGATCAGAAATGGACTTCATTTTCTGCTCAAAATTAGCGATTTGAAAACCGAAGGCAGATTTGATGGATAATTTAATTTATATCTTGAAGTGAATCGTAATGAAGTTCGTCTCTCTGGCGCTGTTTGTGATCGAATATCATGGGGACAATTACAAATTACTGTCAATTCAATAAAGTCATTCCAGCAAGATCATATTTCTACCTTCATTATCCGGCATCATAATAATTTATAACATCTGATTGTACTCGTGGGATATTTTTAGTTTTGCCGAATTATTTGCGCGGAAGAAAGGTGCTGAATAGTGTTGCTTATAGATTAGCCAGTCAACTTAATTTCCAAACGCGCCTTGAACAATGTTATGCCATTCAGATAATTGCTATGGTGAAGGTATGCTAATTTCCTTTGCTAGACTGTATCGAGGCTCTTTAATTTTTGTAAGGGAAAAAAAACTACACGTGTTCGAAACCTCTTTTCCTAAACACCACTTTTTGTGTTTCTGTGACGCACGATATAATTTTTATATAGCTCTAAGTGGCTTTTGTTTCGTCTGCGATTATTGTAAAGTCACCAGGGGAACCTGTAATTAGTTGACCCCGCTTTGTGTGCCTAAACCAGGTCGTGTCGATCACCTTAAACACGAACGTTCGAGCTTATATTCGCACGAAGAAACAGGAAAGCCCTTCGTATTTTTTTATTTTTTGCCCTGAGGGCGATAAGAAAGCGATCGGAATAAGGATTCCTTCTCAACACCCCAGCTTTTTAGCCGAAGGGAGGGAAATGCGGCGGAAAAAAGGTAGTAAAATTTTGTAAACGATCCACTGTGACGTCTGAGCTAACTGGACTGTGGCTTTTTTGAGAGTCCCAACCACTTGGCCCCATGTGATGGATAATGCCTCAGGCACGGGTAATTTCACTTTCCTTCTCGCGCTGTCGGCGATTCGGGCTCTTCAACGCGACGAGCTCGTTTATGAATAATGTTGATTTAATTTTTTGTTCCTCATTCTATTTCATGTTATTGGGAGCAACGCAGTATTTTTGTTTTTGCTCTTTTTACTTGCACGCATATGAATTTAGAAATTCCGATCCATATAGAGATTCCCTGACGAAGATTAGACAGGTTTGAGTAAACAGGAAGTTATGAAAATTCGTCGCTTTTGTTTTCTTTACTAATTATGTAAATATACGTAGATCCGGACGTTGCAGTAATAACTTATTATCCATGCAGTGCATTCATGAATGATTAGCATGACATGTGATTTTCTGCGTAACCTGGGCCTAATTTTTATGCTCATTTCAATTATAAATGTGCTTCCGTTTTTTTAATTGTCATTGGATTAGTCAATCGGAAAAGAGCAGAAAAAAATGCAGGAACTAATTTTGAGCATTTTTTGTTACAGTTGTGTGTGAAATTGGGATATGTGAGGCATTTCTGGAATTTTTGTTTTTCTATAACATTGGTATAGCATGGATATTTCAAAAGAGGGCTGATTGGACATCAATTTTACATTTATTTTTAAAAAGCAATGCCTGAACTTTTCAGGAGATGCAGTACTAAAGATTGGGTCAACATGAAGATTACTCAAGTGTTCCCTTGTTAATGCAGCAAATTACTTGAATGTTCACTTCCGGCATTGTTGTCCTTTATAAATTGACTGCGTGCGTACACAAGAGATTGTTCGAAAGGTAATGGACGCAAATCGTAAGTGCTTTCAGCACTTACCACGCAGCAAAGTGCAGTATAATGTGCCTGCCTTTCAAATTATTGTATCATTTCAATTGAGGCAGCTCTGACAACACTCGTTCAGTTGTGAATCCCCGCGTATTTCCTGAACAATGCAGGAAAAAGGGAAGCTACTGATTGCAACCGGATCTTTGAACATCCAGTTTCCTCGCAATTAATGTTTATCAAATAATGAAATTAATCCACACTTCAACAGCACTTCGAACAAATTATCGCCGATTCGAAAGCCTGAAAGCTATACAATCACATACAAGCAAATGGTTTCCTTGAAAACTCAATTGTCCTCCCTCCAATTCTTTTATGTTTCCCATCAATGTCGGCCCCTCGGGTGATTTATACAATAAGAATCATATTTCTACGTCTCTAATACAAGTTTCAGCGCATGAATCGTGAACTTTATTCCGTTTCTGTGATAAATCGATGCGTATGTAGGGAAAATACTTTGATTACAATATTTTACTGGATTGTCATGATCTCTGCGTGGAAAAATGGGGAACAAAAAGAAAATTAAATTCATGGGCCCTTCTAAAAAAACATTACCTTTTTAGAAGAGTATAAAAAAAAACATGTGTGACCCGTTTTTTGGACGATATACTACAACGAAATTCAAGGGTCCAAAAAATTGTTGTTGAGAGAATTAAGTTGCATAAAACCCCTATAACCTCTGGATAGAAACCTATGGGACCATAAAAATCGGTATGCAGAAAAGTTGTATACAAGATCTTTCTTATGAGAGTCCACCTGTAAAGATTTCAATTTTGCCTCTTTTTCCCGAGGTTCCGATATTTAGATTGAAACCCTATAGATAAATTCAATGGTAGTCTTCTTTTTTTTACGATTTACGATTGTAATTCAAGCGATGCATTTATATTTCCATTTTGTGTGCTTGTGTGTGTTTTTTTTCTTAAAAGAGTTTAGAATTGAAATCATGCCTTGAATTTGTGTTGGGAACCTGACGAGAAATCTCATTCACGTGTAATTGAGAAGAGTTTCTTCAGTAAATTTTTCGACCATTTTATCCTAGCAAATAATATTCATTTGGCTTGTATTTGTTAGGATGTGAGCGTGAGATTGACACTTCATGCATGAAATTCATTCTACCATCTTATATGATATACTATTGTAATTCGAGCGTTGAATTTGTATTTCAATTTTTTGTGTGTTTATCCCCAGAGATTCGAAATGAAATTACGCCTCTTCAATTTAGTTCTGGAAACTTGACGAGAAATCTCTCGTGTAAGAACTGTTTGTTCCATAAATGTTCTGACGATTGCATCCCAGGAATAAGTAACACTTCCATTTTGGTCTTGCCTCCATTTTCTCTGATTATGTCAGCCTCAGATTGAAGCTTCATGTAGATGAAATTCAGTCTTCCACCTTGTATGAATTTGGATTATAATTCAAGCCGTGTTTGTTTTTCTCCTTTCTTTTTCGCAGAGATCAGAAATGAAACTTACGGGGCTCAGTCAGCTCTTTCAGGTCCCTTGGCCTGCTGCCGACGTGAACTGTTCGGCCGAGTAGGAGCGTGACGGCCAGAGGAAGGAGTCGTGCACGGACGACGACGACAGCAGCAGCAGCAGCTCGACGGCGATGTCGATGTCGACGACGACGACAGCCGCCTCGAAGGCGACGTGGCAAACGTCGCCGGACGTGCCTTCAGCCGCCATGCTCTGGCACGACGACGAGCCCGGCGGCCAAGTCGCCAGCAGTGCCCTGCACTGGGAACCCGTCCACGACTTGGCCGACTTCAGCTTCGCCGTCGAGGCCGGCGGAAGCCACAGTTCCTGGCAATTCGTGTGTCGGGCCCGGCAGGACGGGGAGTGGGTACCCGGCAGGGGCACGTCCAGGAGGATCTGCCTGGTGCCCAGCAGGGGCAAGGAAACCGTGCATACCTCGTTCCAGGCAAGTGGATATCATCTCATTGTCATGTCCCCTTTTTTTTTTATCCCCATTTCGAGTGGATTTTTCCCTATTCTGGTTTTGATGTTGAACCTGGTTGCAAGAAAGAGCCGAATTGAAGCACGAAAAAAGTGTTCCGGAAAAGTTTCGTTTAATCGACGCTCAGTGATGGGAAGTCAGTACTATATACATTACAGTGAAACCCAGAAAAAATATTCGCTGCAATGAAAATGTTCATTACTTCAAAGCTCAAACAGAATTTTGTATATACCGTATTTAAATTGAAAGGAACGTATTAAAAAGTTGAACTCAGTTGTTACGAAGAGTTTTTTTTTCTTTATTTTGGACAGAAATTGTATTTTTGATGCATTTTTCTCGAAAAGTGTTGCCGACTGCGTGTAGCCTGATTTTGTGAAAAGGTTTTCTCGCTCCATCTTCGCATTCTTGGATTAAAAAAGGCCTTATTCGCAAGAGAAATAAAAACTCCTTTGCAACTTAAATTTAGAAAATTAATTTTTTGCGATTAATCGCAGTTCAGAACTTCTTGGCTGACGATCCCAGTCCTGGATCTGAAAAGACGACGGATTTTCATTTATTTTCCTTTTCACATTACGCTCAATCCTTTCGATTTACATTTTTAATCGTTAAAAAAGTGCCCTGATTCTAAACATTTTCCTGAAACTACGAAAAATATATTACGATTTCATTGCATGATGATGATGAGCGTCAGTGTTGCTGCAGGATTATTTATTAAAACATTATTACCTTCCAAAAAAATTTATAATTTTTCGAGTGTCCTAGTTTTTATTATTCTGATTTCCTGAAAAAAAAAGATTAACAGAACTTGAACTCGAATCCATGTAGGGATTTTATATGGCGGAAAATCCAATAACGCGAGCTCCGAAATTAGTCGTTAAAAGATTTCCGCCGCAATTTTTATTTTTATTTTTTGGAGAAGGAATTCGGCCTAACCGAAGGGAGGGAAATGCGGCGGAAAAAAGGTAGTAAAATTTTGTAAACGATCCACTGTGACGTCTGAGCTAACTGGACTGTGGCTTTTTTGAGAGTCCCAACCACTTGGCCCCATGTGATGGATAACGCCTCAGGCACGGGTAATTTCACTTTCCTTCTCGCGCTGTCGGCGATTCGGGGCTCTTCAACGCGACGAGCTCGTTTATGAATAATGTTGATTTAATTTTTTGTTCCTCATTCTATTTCGTGTTATTGGGAGCACCCAGCATTTCTGTTTTTGTTCTTTTTACTTGCACACATATGAATTTAGAAATTCCGATCCATATAGAGATTCCCTGACGAAGATTAGACAGGTTTGAGTAAACAGGAAGTTATGAAAATTCGTCGCTTTTGTTTTCTTTACTAATTATGTAAATACTGTATACGTAGATCCGGACGTTGCAGTAATAAGTTATTATCCATGCAGTGCATTCATGAATGATTATCATGACATGTGATTTTCTGCGTAACCTGGGCCTAATTTTTATGCTCATTTCAATTTTAAATGTGCTTCTTTTTTTTTAATTGTCATTGGATTAGTCAATCGGAAAAGAGCAGAAACAAATTCAGGAACTGATTTTGAGCTTCTTTGTTACAGGTGTGTGTGAAATTGGGATATGTGAGGCATTTCTGGAATTTTTGTTTTTCTATAACATTGGTATAGCATGGATATTTCAAAAGAGGGCTGATTGGACATCAATTTTACATTTATTTTTAAAAAGCAATGCCTGAACTTTTCAGGAGATGCAGTACTAAAGATTGGGTCAACATGAAGATTACTCAAGTGTTCCCTTGTTAATGCAGCAAATTACTTGAATGTTCACTTCCGGCATTGTTGTCCTTTATAAATTGACTGCGTGCGTACACAAGAGATTGTTCGAAAGGTAATGGACGCAAATCGTAAGTGCTTTCAGCACTTACCACGCAGCAAAGTGCAGTATAATGTGCCTGCCTTTCAAATTATTGTATCATTTCAATTGAGGCAGCTCTGACAACACTCGTTCAGTTGTGAATCCCCGCGTATTTCCTGAACAATGCAGGAAAAAGGGAAGCTACTGATTGCAACCGGATCTTTGAACATCCAGTTTCCTCGCAATTAATGTTTATCAAATAATGAAATTAATCCACACTTCAACAGCACTTCGAACAAATTATCGCCGATTCGAAAGCCTGAAAGCTATACAATCACATACAAGCAAATGGTTTCCTTGAAAACTCAATTGTCCTCCCTCCAATTCTTTTATGTTTCCCATCAATGTCGGCCCCTCGGGTGATTTATACAATAAGAATCATATTTCTACGTCTCTAATACAAGTTTCAGCGCATGAATCGTGAACTTTATTCCGTTTCTGTGATAAATCGATGCGTATGTAGGGAAAATACTTTGATTACAATATTTTACTGGATTGTCATGATCTCTGCGTGGAAAAATGGGGAACAAAAAGAAAATTAAATTCATGGGCCCTTCTAAAAAAACATTACCTTTTTAGAAGAGTATAAAAAAAAACATGTGTGACCCGTTTTTTGGACGATATACTACAACGAAATTCAAGGGTCCAAAAAATTGTTGTTGAGAGAATTAAGTTGCATAAAACCCCTATAACCTCTGGATAGAAACCTATGGGACCATAAAAATCGGTATGCAGAAAAGTTGTATACAAGATCTTTCTTATGAGAGTCCACCTGTAAAGATTTCAATTTTGCCTCTTTTTCCCGAGGTTCCGATATTTAGATTGAAACCCTATAGATAAATTCAATGGTAGTCTTCTTTTTTTTACGATTTACGATTGTAATTCAAGCGATGCATTTATATTTCCATTTTGTGTGCTTGTGTGTGTTTTTTTTCTTAAAAGAGTTTAGAATTGAAATCATGCCTTGAATTTGTGTTGGGAACCTGACGAGAAATCTCATTCACGTGTAATTGAGAAGAGTTTCTTCAGTAAATTTTTCGACCATTTTATCCTAGCAAATAATATTCATTTGGCTTGTATTTGTTAGGATGTGAGCGTGAGATTGACACTTCATGCATGAAATTCATTCTACCATCTTATATGATATACTATTGTAATTCGAGCGTTGAATTTGTATTTCAATTTTTTGTGTGTTTATCCCCAGAGATTCGAAATGAAATTACGCCTCTTCAATTTAGTTCTGGAAACTTGACGAGAAATCTCTCGTGTAAGAACTGTTTGTTCCATAAATGTTCTGACGATTGCATCCCAGGAATAAGTAACACTTCCATTTTGGTCTTGCCTCCATTTTCTCTGATTATGTCAGCCTCAGATTGAAGCTTCATGTAGATGAAATTCAGTCTTCCACCTTGTATGAATTTGGATTATAATTCAAGCCGTGTTTGTTTTTCTCCTTTCTTTTTCGCAGAGATCAGAAATGAAACTATGCCCCGAGTCAGTCGAGAAAGTCCAGGGAACCGGACGACGGCTGCACTTGACAAGCCGGCTCATCCTCGCACTGCCGGTCTCCTTCCTCAGCACGTGCCTGCTGCTGCTGTCGTCGTCGTCGTCGACGGCGATGTCGATGTCGACGACGACGACAGCCGCCTCGAAGGCGACGTGGCAAACGTCGCCGGATGTGCCTTCAGCCGCCATGCTCTGGCACGACGACGAGCCCGGCGGCCAAGTCGCCAGCAGTGCCCTGCACTGGGAACCCGTCCACGACTTGGCCGACTTCAGCTTCGCCGTTGAGGCCGGCGGAAGCCACAGTTCCTGGCAATTCGTGTGTCGGGCCCGGCAGGACGGGGAGTGGGTACCCGGCAGGGGCACGTCCAGAAGGATCTGCCTGGTGCCCAGCAGGGGCAAGGAAACCGTGCATACCTCGTTCCAGGCAAGTGGATATCATCTCATTGTCATGTCCCCTTTTTTTTTATCCCCATTTCGAGTGGATTTTTCCCTATTCTGGTTTTGATGTTGAACCTGGTTGCAAGAAAGAGCCGAATTGAAGCACGAAAAAAGTGTTCCGGAAAAGTTTCGTTTAATCGACGTTCAGTGATGGGAAGTCATTATATGCAGCAGTGGAACCCAGAAAAATTATTCACTGCAATGAAAGTGTTCATTACTTCGAAGCTCAAACATAATTTGTTATATACCGTATTTATATAGAAGGGAACGTATTAAAAAGTTAAACTCAGTTGTTACGAAGAGTTTTTTTTTTTTTTTTGGACAGAAATTGTATTTTTGATGCATTTTTTCGAAAAGTGTTGCCGACTGCGGCCTGGTTTTGTGTAAATGATTTCTCGCTCCATCTTCGCATTCTTGGATTTAAAAAAGGCCTTATATTCGCAAAAGAAATAAAAACTCCTTTGCAACTTAAATTTAGAAAATTGATTTTTTGCGATTAATCGCAGTTTAGAACTTCTTGGCTGACGATATACCCGTCCTGGATCTGAAAAGACGACGGATTTTCATTTATTTTCCTTTTCACATTACGCTCAATCCTTTTGATTTACATTTTTAATCGTTAAAAAAGTGCCCTGATTCTAAACATTTTCCTGAAACTACGAAAAATATATTACGATTTCATTGCATGATGATGATGAGCGTCAGTGTTGGTGCAGGATTATTTATTAAAACATTATTACCTTCCAAAAAAATTTATAATTTTTCGAGTGTCCTAGTTTTTATTATTCTGATTTCCTGAAAAAAAAGATTAACAGACCTTGAACTCGAATCCATGTAGGGATTTTATATGGCGGAAAATCCAATAACGCGAGCTCCGAAATTAGTCGTTAAAAGATTTCCGCCGCAATTTTTATTTTTATTTTTTGGAGAAGGAATTCGGCCTATGCCAGTACTGTCTTTATTTGGAAATAATTTCTTCCCCGAGAATGTTCCTTTGTTCTTTTATTTCGTTTAAGTTTTATTTTTGTCAGAAAAAAATAATCGTGAATTCAGGGTACATTTAAACCAATTCATTCAACTGTTTCATATTAACAAGAGATAACGATCTTCATCTGGAAAGGCTCTTGAAATAGCGAGTGTTTCGCAGTTTATCTTGGGGTATTACAAAACACAACGGGCAAACACTGCTGCATTAATATGGAAAGTCATAATGTTTCCCGCAAAGCTATATTTTCGATACTTGGACACTTTTTTTTTCAATCGAGTAATCGAATTCTGTTCGAGCTGAAATTTCGTTTGTCCTTTTTGCATGAAAGGCTGGACGATTTCCAAGTCTCTGTCAAAGAGTTATCTTTCACTTACTTTGTATGTCGCTCAACGGCTCCAGAAATTTTGAATAAAAATGTTTCAGCGATGTACTCGGAAATGTTTCTTCTTTTCACCACGTGCGAGAAAAAACGTGTTTCTCGACGCTAACAATTAATAAGAGAAGGGGTTCGACTGCAATTTTAATTTTTATTTTATTTGAATCGAATCCGAGTTTTGATGGCGGTTTCCTAATGAAAACATAATTTGAAAGTGAAGAGTTTGATTTTCATTCAAAATTTTTAAGATAATATATGTCGTTGAAATCAATTATCGGATTCAGCGAAGAACAAACCTGAATCTGTGTACTACAGATATATTCCTGCGTTTGATTCAGATTTTTCGTGATTTTAGAGATCGATTTTATGCAAAGCTTTCCGGGTGGATTCCGAGTGAAAAATATATTTTCCCCAATTTTCAATGCATAAATGGAAAAAAAAATTCAGCTTCAGATAAATTGGAAACCAGAATTGCCGCTGTTCTCCGGAATGTTCAACTCATTGTTGGAGAATGAGTTTTCTATGACTGAAAATTGGCTGCTAACGACTTTTAATTCAGAAAGATGACCTTTTTTTCAAATAATACCGCACTCATGTATATGATTAAGATTGATTGATGTAGTCATGTTTTTATGGAAGAGTTGGACGCTTTTTTAATGTCCATTGTAGGATTGAACGTTTTTCCTATTTTTGCGGCCATTTGTTTATGAAATTTCATGTGGACATACATGCAATTGGGGAATTTTTCTGCTTATGAACTCAAGAATAGATTTGCTTTACTCATTTATGAGATTGCTCGCGTGTTTGGTATTACAGTAATTACAACGTCTCTACCAATAAAGCCTTACGTGACTCTGTGTAAGTTAATATATATTCGTATATGACAGACTCGCATCTGGAATTTATTCAACCCTTCAACCAACCTATCACTATACATTTATCACCTTGTCCAAAATTATCGTGGCTGAATAAAAGCAGGCACTTTTTAAAAATATATTGTGAATGAGCCAGAATTTTTTTTTTAGTCAAGACCTCAGTTCTTAAAATCACGTTCCCGGAGGTTCGTGCGTCTATATCGTATCCGCAGCTTCTGTGAAAATGACGATTAAAAAACATGTTTAATATTTTAATGATTCCAGGTGCTTGTGAGTCCAGAGCTGTCGGCGAATACCCGTTGGGTATCGTTCAAAACCCCGTCGAAAATCCCAGAGGGCGCCCTTGTGTCCGAGGGCTTTAATATAGTGCGCCAAGGAGATCCCGACTCGGAACTTGGAGTGTCCATCGGTCGCTACAACGCCTCGAAAGGTGCAGACATTGTTCTTCGCTCTCCACGGGCTTCCAACAAAAAGTGAGTGGAATTCCGTTCAATTTTTTTTAGATTGTAAAAAAAAAAAAGAGGAAGTAAAGTGGGTGCCCGCGCGTAACAGTGTTCGTGGCACTTGAGGGAGCTCGAATGGAATTTTTAAAAATGTTGCAAATTATTTTTTTTAAAAACATCCGAAAGTTAAGAAAAAAAAGGTTGAGAACCCATGACGCTCATTCGATCATTAATATTTGCTCTTTTGTTTTTTTTTAGCAATCAGGATCCGACCTCGTTCTCCGACGACGACACAACCGAGGTGTTGGTGGAACTCGAACCCGTCAAGTACCAGCTGACGAACCTGGCGTTCCAGACGCCGCCGAGTCCGGCGGGGTTCCCGCCGATCCACGAGGAATCAGTGGTTTTGGCACACGACGTGCTGGAGAACCCGACCCGGGAATCCCTGTCACTCAATGTCGACATCCCGTACGAGTACGAAGAGTCACTGCGGATCAGCGGGGTTGTCGGCACGAAACCCGGCGTGTCGACGGTCTTCGACATCCGCAGCCCGTTGGAATTGATGGGTGGCCAGCGAGTGTATCTCAGAGACTTCGGCTTCTTCGGTCGGGGATGGGGCGAAACGGTTAGTTGTTGATTACCGATATACGTTAGATTAATTATACCGTCTCGGTTGATGGACTTCTACCAGTTGAACTGACAATTCATTGAGAAAAATCTTTTTTTTTTCAATTGTCGCATCCGAATTTTTTCAATGGCATAGTAAAATTTTTGACTTTATGAAGGGTGTAAAATTTTGTGAAGCTTTTACAAATTCCTGTTCTATTATTCATCGATGCAAAAACAATTTTAGGTACTGTATAATCGCAAATGTCTTGCCACTTCACTTATAGTTTAAAAATGACGACAGAGCTGAATTCAAGCTTTGAAACGTCAGGCCTCTTTCTCCTCCTTCTCTTTCTAGATCTTATGAACTGAATGAAATTGAGCAGCAAGCTTTATTTTCTGTTTTTTAGCATTCACAAGAGGTTCAAACTTATGGATGTGTCTAATGCAACTCCGACGTTGCTAAAAGTAATGGTACTGCATGTGCTGTGTATATACTCGTGTAGATACAGTATATAGTCAGTCCAATTTCCTTCTGCTCCATCATCCGATTCTTCAGTAAATTGCATCCTTGATCCAAAAATCTACAGTATTATGCGAGTCGAAAACCTTTACTTGACGTGACGTAATTTTTAGATGCCTTGTTGCCTTTTACATTTCAAAAACTCATCATGTGCCTGAATCAAGATCATTTATGGGCGGGACAGTGCTTAACCTACTTAATAAAGAAGAATGCGAAAACGACCGAAATTGAGCTCTGCTGCATTAGCTCAAATTCCACCAATAAAATGTAAATCAGTTCTTCCGCTGGGTTTCAATTGCCCGTGCTTTATAAGTTAACGTGCTCTTCTATTTTTTTTAATGTTTTATTTGAAAAGTTAATAAGCGCTGTCTGTGGTGAGTGACGGAAATTTCACGAAACAGTTTCAAAAAATGTACAGTTTTTATTTCTAAAATTATTATACGCAGCAACATCCGGGTGCGGCCTGTATAAGTACTGCACGATAATTCGTCAGTCAATCTTTTTCATTCAGAAATTACAACCGTGCATTTCATCGTTGATGGCTCGAAATGTTCTCTCATGATTAAAAAACCGGTACTTCACTCTGAACAAGTTTGATACCCTCTGGCAGGGTGCACTTGAGCTTCAAGTGAACAATTATCCATGACAAGTGACAACTAGTTCAGTTAGGATGATGAAGATTTTGAAGACGAAAACGAATGCAGTAAACTGAAGAATCGTTCTCTGAAAAACAGGCTGGAAAAGATAACGGTTTCCTTGAGCTGTGACGAACAAGTTCGTTCTGATTCGAAAATAATTTCAATGCGTAGAGTTGGGCCAGGAAAAATAAGAAGCGATGCACCTAATTTCAAGCAGCTGTGGACAAAAACATTTACGTAATATCACTCTATGAAGATAAAATGTATTAGACCTAGAAATAGTTGGAAGAAAAATTGAAACGTGTTTTCAAGTTGAAGGTTATTCATGCTTAAATTTTCAGCTGATGAATCATTAGGAGCTCTGCTGTTTTTTTTTTAAGTGAAAAGGCAATAAATTCGAGATGTTATTCATGAAGTAATCAGTATACAGTATTCTTCATGAAGTAAATTCAGTATATAATACATTGCATAGTGTATAACAATCACTGAATTTTTTCACTGCCTAAATATATTTTATTGACGAATATAAGACCCGTTCCGCGTAATATAGAAAATACTATTAATAATATATTACACATAATTTATTACTGATTATACGTAAATAATACATAATATGAATCAATCACGGAAATTGTTTCATGATATATCGAGAAACAATTTCGGTTATCCTTTTTTTTTTTTTTTGTGGCTCTGATGATGTCCCGAAAAAGGGCTATTTTTACTCGTATGCAGAACTGTGGTTTCATCCTGACCTTTTATGCTGTTTCACTCTGATGTGTGTGTGTGTGTGTGTGTGTGTTCATCAGGTCACGCGTCAATTCAGCAACATGGCAGCCGCTTTCGTGGACGACGTTCTTCCGGGCACCAGCGTGGCAGTGAGTGTTCTGGGTCGGCTCGGAGTGTTCCAGTTACCGTTCACGGGTTCCCTGAGGGCCACTTACGGGGACGGCTCGACCATCACCCGCCTGGTCAGGGGGAAATTGCATCTCAAGAAGTACCTGGACGTCGGGGTGGCCTACGGGCTGGCCACGGGACTCATCGGGCCCGACTCTGACCGGGTTCAGAAGCAGCAGCATCAGCAACAGCAGGAGCATCATCGCCAAAAGGATGTGCAGCAGGATTCCCAGCAATTGTCTTGGAGGGTGCGCTGGGGACCCGGGCAGGACCCTGGTGGTGGGCAAGGTTCGATGGCTACTGGTGGTGGTGGTGGTGACATCAGCAATGGCGCGACAGAGAAGAGGAGCAAAGCCACTTCTGATCCTGTCACAGCTGGTATATTTATTATCATTTGTTTATCAATTTTTTAGGTACAAATATTTTTTCTACTCAAACGATAAAAGAAGTCATTAATATTGATTGATTATCAGACGCGCATAATTTGCTGTGGTGCCTGCAAATAAAATAAATATTTTTGCGTTTGCGAATGCGTGAGACACACTTTCAACGAATGCAGTTTTTCCAGAAATTATTGCTATTTCCTGAAGGTGCGGGAAATCTATGAATCCTGTTGAAATTGTAATTGTGAGGACAGAAAATTATTTTCCTTGCTTAATTGGAAGAAATCGTACTACATTCTGTAAGTAATAAATTTCGAAATTCAAATCTCTCTTTTTTAAATTCCTTTTCGATTTAACTTGGAGAGGCTCAAATAACTGTCTTGCACTAAATCATGCACTAAAATCTTGTCACAAGAGAGCCAGTGGGACTACATAAATGGGTCCTGTTCAATGAAAAATTAATTATCAAAAAACTCAAATGCCACAACATTGTGGCTATTGGGCGGGATCTAAAAACGGATTCATTGTAACTACTTATTCATTATAACGAGATTCACTGTAACACTGATAATGCTGTAGTTTTTAAAGAGTGAGATTTGTCAAATTATTCGAGTATTTTAGCCCGAACACGTCAAGCCAAACTCAGATGGTCCCAAAAAATCAGTTGACCCATATTTCTTTTTTATTTGAGGAAACAAGCATTTTTCCTTCGGAAAAACCAATTACATGAAGGCAAAATTGGGTGATTTGTTGGTCTTTGAAGTGCTGGTTGAATAATTTGTCAAGTTGCTCAACTTTGAGGCAAGGTAAATTTGCTGATCAAGTCAAGCACTTATTTTTGAAAATCGTGTAACATTTTTATTACTTGACTCCTTCCTGAGCTCTTGAGGCTTGTCAAAAAATTAAATTATTGAGGTTTGAGGGTCTATATTCTCAAAAGAATTCAAACACAAACCCTCACATCAAATTCCACATAGATGTGTTTTTTTTTTGCCTAGGGAGATGCAACTTAGGAGGGTCATGCGTAGTATGTGTTTGGTTTATATATTGTCAGTCACATTCAGAATATGTAGCCACCTCTATATTTCACAAACGATTTGTTTCTTTCTTTCCAAAATAAAAAAATGGATATAACGAATTTTGAAAGGCTTTCCAGAAATAAACTTCAATTTAATCCTAACCCAGGGTTCGGAAAAAAGCGCTCAAATCCTTCCGACCTTCTTGGATGTTAGAAATGTTCGTGTGAGTCTTTTCCAAAATTTACGGGAAAACTGTCTTTGCAACATAGTTTCCTCTCGAATCGATTGTGCCTATCGTATCTGAAATCGTGAGAATATTTCATTGAAATTCTAACAGGAATTTAGCGCCGAGTTGACAATAATTTTGTTTATTTTTCCATGCCTGTGGGAACTTTACTCGTGCACAAAGGGTGGGTGAGAAAAACACGTTATGATCGATCAAGCTCTTGCACATTGGATCGATCGTGTGTTGTTGCACCCATACACGATTCCAAGTCCTTTTCCCTTGTCTAAACCACGATTAATATTCATCACTCAGCAGAAATCGATTTCCGCGGATGTAAACGATACTATTTCTCTATTTCTGATCCCTTTTTTGTTTGTTTGTTTCATGTTATCAGTTTCAAAGGCCTCAAGTGCGACGATATCATCGCGGATCGTCGAAGATGACACTCATCTTCACGATGAGGATCAGCAACAAGAGGATGCTGATCAAGAACCCAGAGACAAATTCGTGGTTCAAAGACGGGCTGCGTCATCAGCATCACCTTCATCAATAATCAGCAATTCCGTGGATTCAGTTGCTGATTACGTCAAATTGTCCGTGTGGACAACAGCGTTTTTCGGGGTTGTGGGTTTCGTTGTTCGCGGAAGATGACGGAGGTTGAACGCCGTTATTGAAACGAACGGCGGAGTTTGAAATCTTTTTTTTTTTTCTTATACGTTCGTGCTTCTGCTTCTTCTTCTTTTTTTTAATTGAGGTTCGTTATTGTGTTCGGAAATTTTTTTGTTGGAAAAGTGGGAACGGGGTGCACACGAAGTCGAAATTCTGATTTCGAAAAAAAGAAAAAGAAATCATAAATTCTCAGTTGTTAAGATGGGACGCAACTCGGTGACATTCTGACCGTCGATGCTGAGACGACGACGACGAAAAACGTGTCGAAATATTCAAAAGAAAATGTACTCATTCTCGTCTGAGAAGAGCCTCGATCGGTGTGAACATATTTGTTGTGATATTATAAACAAAATCACTGTAGAAAGGTAATCCGATCCCGAAAACATTTTTTTTTTGCTGTACTCCATCTGCCGCAAGGAAGTTGAAAAATGTTGTGGGTTCGATCCCAGAAGTGAGTTTTATACGATTGATGTGAGTAGATCCTGTTTTCAATTCCTTCAGCCCTTTTGATGATTGAAAACAGTCAGTCTCCGTGATGAGTAAAGTATTTCAGAACCCGCGATGATGTGGATATTAGAATACTTTTTTTTCTTTCAAATTTGAAGAGAAGATTCCAGGAATGCTTCCACAGTTTGCGCTTCTTCGTGTAATTGTGTTTATGTGATAACCACGTTTTCGAATCGATTCCATACCTAAAGCGGGTTTTTTCTTATTACAATATAAAACTGATTCTCGTGATTGGAAGGGAAAAGAAGAGAAAAAGCAAGCTTTAAAAAAGTTGTTTTCAGAGCTTGATATTCCGAAGAAGAAAGCACAGGTCGGAAGGAAAAAAAAAGTTGATGAGCGATTTCCGTAATTTATTTATTCTCACTTCCCTTTTTTATAATTTCGCATTTTAAAAACAATACTTACGTTTTCCGTATCTATTAACGCATGAATTTTTTCTCAGCTAAATTTGAATTCCTTCGCTTTTAAGATTTGATTAAATCTTTCCAAATTAAATTGGAAACCTCTTTCCTGTATCATTCGACAGCGGATGTTTGTGTTTATTCGCTGTATCCGTGCAAAAGCAGAAACATGTTTTCTACTTTTTCTCTGCCTTCAAACGGACATCGTTGTTGTTTTTCAATCTATTGGAATTTTTCAAGTCTATCATCACCTGGTCATATCTGCGTCATATTTGAAAGTATTCCTGCCGAGTCAAGTGTTGAGAGACGTGCTAAAAACGCCAGAGGATCAAGTCGAGTGTTAGGAAATTCATCCAATGGAACAGCAGAAGAGTGAAAAGAAAGTGGAGACAAAACTTTTTTTTTTTTGGATTTGGAAATAAAATGAAGTATATGTTTTCTCTAGAGGCTAAGTGTCTCATATTCTCTTTTCTTTTATACGATGCCACTATATGTCGTTATTTTCCGAATAATATGTATACTGTACTATAAGATGTTAGATGAACAGAATTGATTTTTTTCAGTTTTCTTTCAGCGTACTTAAGCAGTGCAAGTACCAAAAAAAAAGTTTCTGCAGTCCCGATGTTATGGCACAAAACCAGTTGATGAACTTTTTAGGCAAATCGGCCAAAGAATGTGTTAATTTTTTCTCAAATAAAATTTGCGTTGCACACTGGTAAAATTATACTCGCCTCAAAAACACACTCATTTGGTGATGTTTGATTGATACTAATATCTCTCCTGAAAATGGCATAACTTTCCTTCCTTATATATGTAAATACCGTAATTCACTTGTATTCGTTTAATATCTGATTCAAAGAACCAGAATTTGGAGGATGAATTACAACTGCTGTTGATAAAACCTTCAAAGAGTACCAAAGTTCTCTGGAAATTATTTCAATTGCTCTTTATTGGTTTCACATATAATTTCCCAACCCAAGGCTCAAACCCAAGGCTCCCCACCCAACCCAAATCCACTCAAAGACATTTAATCACTTCAGAGCAGGAACCAGAGCACAAATGGATAACAAAATGGAACCAATTACTGTATTATCAAAATAACTTATTTAATTTTTTTATCATTCAGGATACGGTTGCTGTCACAAAATATTTCTCTTTCGGGACAAAGAAGTCTTTTTCGACAATTGATTAGCATACACCCATTCATTCCCTGACATTGAAAACAAAATATCAGTAAAAATTAATTTAAAGCACAAGGTCTTCAGCTGGTTTCTGTATGAGGTTTAGTTGAAGGCTCAAAAGACCAAACACAAAATGAACAAAATAACTCATGCGAAAGTCTCTGCTGATAATTGGTACACAATTATTAGGAAAACTATAAAAAGCAAAAGTAAGGACTAAAATCAAAATACTGCACAGTATGAGATCATCCAGTTCGGGTACAAGGCCTGACATTCTCATTAGAACCTCAACAAGAAAGTCAAATTTGGATTTAAATACTGCACATCCAAGATAAAACACTTGATTTGCATTCAAATGTAGAAATGAACCTTGAAAACATTCTGATAATGTACAGTATATATTTTTTTTACATTTTCTTTGTCATCACACGCGCAGCGTTCTCATACCATTCCGCAACGTCAACATAAGCCCTTTTTTTGGTGCAGGGACGAAAGAACCCATTTTCAGAAGTACTTTTCCGCAGAAAACTACATCAGTACTTTCAAGGTCAAATTCCTTTCCTGTTCCATTTCTATATCTTTGCTGGTTCCTTCAGCAAAGGCAGTCATGATCATTTCTCGTTGGAACAGCCAAACTTTCCCTTTTGTTCGGGCATTGCTCGCAAAATTCCACGGCGGTCGTTGTTCAAATATGGGTACGTAAGGCAGTAGAGTTGAATGTGCTAAATGGAAACTGCTGGGATCGACCTTGGAACCCAGCCAATATAGTTCCAAAGGTTGAGCCGGGAATCAATGCGGGCCTGATGAAAACTCGCTGTGGGCGAAGTGCTCTGTGTCAGTAACACGTGGCAGAGCTGATCCGTGATGATGATGCCGACGTCACTCTCGTCCCAATCTCCAAAAACTCAGACCAGTTGACTGGGTTGAATTAATAAGCATGAGATTTGAATGAATTCCTTCGACGTGTGCTGAGAATCCTCAGATGCAATATTTGGTTGATGGATGAGTACTGTAATTTAATGAAGCAATGACTGTTGCAGAAAATTTCTGCTCATAGACAAAGATAACTTTTTAAACGAGTTATTTGAATCATTGAAACACATGGATCCGCTGCGTGCTTTCGTCTGTCTCCGTTTGTGAAGACTGCAAATGTTAAGTGTGTGTAATTCATGTTTTTGGTGAATTTTTGCAGTTAATCACAAATCACAAATGAACTTATTAAAGCACACAAACCCTATAAATTCAGGCTTCATAAATCAAGACAGGCCAAAACACAGCACGGCTGACTGCTGAAGAGTTTTAAATTTGTCATTTAATCAATTGTCGAAAAAGACTTCTTTGTCCCGAAAGAGAAATATTTTGTGACAGCAACCGTATCCTGAATGATAAAAAAATTAAATAAGTTATTTTGATAATACAGTAATTGGTTCCATTTTGTTATGTTTACAACACTGCAGGCTTCGAAGTCTCTGCGCTATCCACTATTAGTGCCGCAACGGAACTGCGCGTGTATTATGATTATATTAACGTAATCATACAGCATTGCATGTCAAGTATTTAGTCCTTGAAAGGCGAGGAACAACTTGGATTTCTTTGGGGAAATTAACGATACGACGTATTACTGCGATATTATTTTTCTTAACAAGAGAATAGCATTACTGTATTCTTCCATGCAAAAAAGAAGCTATTCGTAGCGCTGAGACCTTAATAAATATATTTAGTATGAAAAAAATTTAATTTGTGTCGGTATTTTTAGTGCTTTCAATTACATCCGCACGCATTCTTGGCTATAGTCAAATGAAAATATCCGCAGCTTCCAACAAATAAACTAACATATTTTGAAAGCATCTACGATGGCTCCCTTCAAACGAGCATTCGCCACATTTTTCCGTCAGGCTACTTTTACGGTACAGTATTGTACTCTATATCTGTCACCGGAAAATACTGCGGCATTTCAGAAGCATGAATCAAGATAAAATTGCATTCCATCATCACGAGGTCCTGTGTGGGGCACCTTTTGTCGCAGAACAGAACTGGTTTCATGGAGCCTCTAACATTTGAAGTCAGATGTCGCTGCTTCTGCAGTCGGCATGGGATTAGAGCACCACGACCTGCAGCTAAAATAAAAGAGCATATAATAATTGAAGAAAAATCTGTCACTGATAAGGAGATACTGTAGTTAAGACTCGCATAGTCGCATTAAAAATATAGGCATCGAGAACAGAATCTGCAAGAAATTGGCGCAAAAAAATAAGGTGCGCGTAAATAGCCGCGGGTACAAATTATAGTCATACGGTCGCATTTTTGTGTTCAAACATTTTCTCAATTTAAAATTTATCCAGGGATGTCTTTTCTGAATATTCATTTATCCGCATGAAACAAAAATATCACCATTGAATTGGATTTTCGAATCCTCACAATCTTGTAAGGTATTAAGCGGTCTCGAATTTATATAGATACAGAATTCTTATCAAGCATGCTTTACTATTTTACTTGTAACCAAAAACTGAGGCGCAAATCTTACGCGAGGATAACATTCTTACCCAGAATTTCAGCCAACAATCTTAACTATGCTTTAGGAGTCGAGGGTCCGTGATACTCGACCAACTCGAGAAAATACGAAGCACAGCATAAAAAAAAAATTGCATGATACGAAAGTTCAGCTGGGCGCTAGCGACATCTACATTACTCTTAGAAAAAAACGTGAAACCTTATGTTCCAATACCTCAAGAGTGACCTTCACTCTGCTGATTTGAGAAAAGGCACCCGGGTTCGGGGGCCAGGTTGATCTCGAAAAAAGTTGGCGAACTTCGTGAATTTATGTCCAAATCATTTATGCTCAAACCGAATTCACACGAATTTGGGGTTTTCGTGATATAAGATGGGCAAACCG